CTTACCCTTCGGTTAGCTCATCACTGTCGTGTGGAAAAGTGAAGCCATTGGAATTCGAAAAGATAAGCCAGATGCGGGGCATTCGAATTTTTCGAATAGTCGAATGGATGTTCGTCTCCCTTTTAAAAATTCTAGATAACGCGCTCGCTCGTCATCCATTACCAGGCTTCGAGTGCAATCGCGTTGCAGGATCGGCCGAGAAGAAGCGAGGCAGTCAGAGAGAGAGAGAGAGAGAGAGAGAGAGAGAGAGAGAGCGCGTGAGAGAGAGAGAGAGAGAGCGTGAGAGAGAGCGTGAGAGAGAGCGTGAGAGAGTGTGTGAGAGAGTGTGAGAGAGTGAGAGAGAGTGAGAGAATAAACTACGGGTGATAATTAAGACGAACAGGTAAATGCGCGGGACCGCCGACGTCGTGGCCACTTTCGTGACGGAAGCCCGTCGTTAGCCTTTCTTGAGCTGCTTTTCCTTGCTCGCGCGGGACCCGAGGTCGAGACTGCTGCCAAAGTAATTTTCTGCCCTGCCAGTCGCTGAGAAAGATAGAGTGAGTGAGTGCGAGAGAGAGAGAGAGAGAGAGAGAGAGAGAGAAACAGCGAGGACGACGGGGGTTATATAAATCTAAACGCGCGCGGATGTGCGCAGGACCCTCGCAGCGGGGACCTGAAGTTAGGAGGAAGCATCCGAAGAAAAGGAGAGATCGTGACCGTGGCGTCCTTTAAGCAAGTACGTGTCCTGGTCTCGCTGCAAGCTCAACGAATTAAACTTCGTTACTTTTTATAGAGTACTCTTCACTTAAATTTAAACGCACTTTTCCCACAGTTCGTATACACTTCATTTTCCTCGAAATGTAGCACTGTTTACGCCACGTTAAAGCCCTTAACGAACGAGACCGACCATAATTTAAATTGATATATGCCGAGTTTTATCTTCCTGAATATTTCTTTCTGGCTCTACAAAATCTCAGTTAAAGCTTTCAATAATTTATTAAACATATAAATATGTTTACGACACAATTTACTATCTCCATTAGAACTCAAAAGTTGGTAAATCCAGAGAATTTTATTTATATAATTATACCTTATAGGGACTAAAGTATATACAATTATTATAAAGCAATACGGTTTGATTTGATAAGAAATATATGCTTACGATAGGTGTATAAACCGAAATTTTAGACAATATCGCACGAATCGCTTAAAATTTTTACTATGAATTTATTATGTCACATTACGTCTTATTCTACTTCATCCCAATACATCATAACGCATTGTGAGTTCACCCTAAGGCGAATAATTGATCGCGTATTTATATTTTCATTTCATCGAGGAGTTAACACAGAAGATGTCGGGGTAGACTGTAGAAAATATGTCAACGTTGCCGATATTTTTTGCCGCCGGTCGCAGTGAGAAACTTTTCTTCGCCTTCGAAGGCAATTTTTTGCAGCAAAAGATTATTTCCGAATTCGCCTCAAAAGTTATGCGCTTCAGTGAGATTCAGCATTCCAACGAGCAAATAATTAAACAAACGATCACACGAACAACCGAATCTTTCTTTTTCTCAGACAAGAAAATATTCATATATTACTTGAGAATGCATATCTACTTCAATTACATCTACATATACATCTACATCTACATCTACATACATACATATATATATATATATAATTTTCCATATCTTGTACATGTTTTTGCAACTTTGCTTATTTATGTTCACCATTATAACGAGCAATAGAGCTACAAGTGGAATAAAGTGTATGTAATGAAAATCTGTAATCTGTAAACCTGTTTATTGTATAGAATAGAGTAAATGAAATTGTTCCTTCTTTAAATTTTAATTCGTCTCATTGATTCTAAAGGTTGTAAGGATATATTTTTACCAGTGACTTGTAATGTTTAGTCGCATAGGAAATATAAATATATGTCTGTAAATTGACATCTTTTTGAGCAACAATTTATCGAATATTAATATCATTATTATGACAAACATAATTTTCAAATTATTGTAGAATAGGTCATGTTGATTTATAACTATATAATTTTTAATTTAATTTCTATTATTTGAATTCATTAGATTTATTAGAAAAATTTTGTTGAATTTAAATATTTATGAATTTTATCCTGTTTAAGAAATGCAAATATTGAGTTTAAAGAAAAATTTACCTTTTCACTTTTCAAATAGAGTGCGAGTGAAGATTATGATTGGCGTAAGTTAGCAAGAGAACGAAAAGTATGGAAATATATAGGAATACCAGAATTTTAAAATCGATAATATAAACAATTTATAGTTCCAATTATTGTTTTTTTTTTTTTTTTTTTTTTTTTTTTGTGGATCGAAGTTTCGCCTAATTAACATTCAAAGGATATTTATAAATATTTCATCTTATTCCGTAATTCATATTTTATCGTATACAAAAATATATCTATTTACTCCTCTTGCATTTTACAGTTATATATATATATATATATATATATGTGTGTGAGTGTGTTTACTATTAATGAAACGTGTATTTTTTTTTTTATAAAAACCTCATAATAATAAAAGTAATTCTGTAAATATATTGACATTTTAAATAATTTTTTTTTTAAACAAATGTTTAAATTATTTATCAAAATTTAGATTTGACACTTTTTTTGGCAGTTGTTATTTAGAAAAATATCCTATTATGTATCTGAACTATGAAGTAAAAATTCGTCAATAATAATCTATCCTTAAATTAGCAATACTTATAGCTTTGTTAAGAAGGATTTATTTATTCTATTTTCCAGTTTGGTTTATATTCCAAATAATCAATTGAAGTGTTGGTTGTCATTATGTAGAAATTTTATTACCCCTCTATCAGCATAAAAAACGGAATGACAACATTAGTAATAGTAGTACTGAAGTAATTTAATTTTTAACGATTTATAGTCACGATATATCAGAAAATTAAAATATATTTATTGTTCATCGGTGAGAATTCGTCGCTTCGTTTTGAAAACCAAAGTCTTCATATTGTCAATTCAAATTTTATTTGAAATATCAACGGTTCTCTTTTACGCGGATAAAAAGCCAATTTATAAAATATTCTGAGAAATCATAAAATTCCTTTAAAAATATTTAAAAATTTGTAAATCGCAGTGTGTATATTTAAGTGTATCTAATAAGAATTTGAAGAGAAACTTTTTTTTATACAATAAACAATAGTATACTTTTAGTTAAAAACATTTCGAATCAACTACTGATAAATATGCTATTTTTTTTAAGATTATTTCTCATCACTATGAATTCATTATTATTATTCTTTTAAAAAATTTAGTATCAGATTCCAAGGTTATTATAAAAACATTTTGTAATAAATTAATATTATTATAAAATTTTCAATTGTATATACTTTTTTGGATATCAGTTGGTTCATAATATTTCAATAATATTTAATTGTATTGATTATAGTATTCGACTATACATTATAATATGAAGTAATAATTTATCGCATAATGATTAATAATGTATATTTTTTTTTATTCTCATGTAATTACCAATTGGTTATAAGATTAATTGTAAAACGACGTTATATGGTGCATGAGAACTATATTCATAAAGATGAAAATTTTCATATAAAAGCTTAATTATTTAATGCTATCTTCTATTTTACAATTTCAATATAGTTTAATGAAACGCATCATTTGACAATCGGTTTAATGGCGGAAATTACATTGTATTTTATAAGATTAAAAAAAAAAAAAAAAAAAAAAAAAAAAAAAAAAAACCTCGGATTTATGTTTTGTGTTTGAGAAAACTGTAATTAGGATTAGGGGGAGTAAGTAGAATTTTTCTACTTTTTTTCAAATGTAACCAAATATTTGAACGTAATAATATTTGAGTAAATAATTGCTTTTCATAAAATCATATATTTTCTCAAAAGGATATTGCTAGCGTGAGTATATGGTATTTACGTTTACGGAAATACGCTAAGCCTCCTCGGCCGATACGTTGTATCTGTTGGTTCTTCGAAAAAAATATTTGTTTTTCCAATGGCCGGCTCTCACGATTCTAGAACAACGGCAAAAAGTAAATAATATACGATTCAAACAACCGTATAAAATAACATTTTATATTGCGCTCTCGAACTATCAAAATTCAAAATTCACAAAATTTAGCATTGAAGCTGGTCGTAGAAGAGGGGGAGGGAGGGGTTGTTACATAAATCTATAGAAGCGCGCGCTCACGTTTCTGCGTATGTGTGCAATACACGGGGGAACCCTCTCAGCGGGACCCAAAAAGCAAGAGAGCAAGACACGGGCTATTCGATCCTCCCTTTCTCTCTTACTCCCCCACCCGTCAGCCGCTCATTCGCTCTGTCACGCACTCTCACGCACATACGCTCTCGCGCGCTCTCACTCACTCACTCGCTCACTCTCTCTCACTCTCTCTCTCTCTCACTCTCTCTCTCTATCTCTCTCTATCTCTCTCTCTTACTATTTCCTCCCTTCCACCCCCCGCTGCCACGACCGCCACCACCATCTCTCTCTCACACGAGAATCAGAAAGATCGTCGTCGCGTCTACGTAGGCCAAAAGAACTTTCGGTTTTCGGGGTCCAGCAGGCATGGGACGTCTTTTGCGCGAGAGAGAAAGAGACGGCAAAGAGCAAAAGAGGGAGAGAGATGTGCGAGTGGAGTGGGAGCGAGAAAAATAGTCATGGCAGCCGAGGGACAGAGAGAACGAAAAATCGTAAGGGGAGGAGTGGGGATAAGGCTATAAAGGCCTTAGGGTAGGTCGCCCGAGGGACGAGTCGTATGGTGATCGTAGTGGTGGGAAGAGAAGGAGAAAGAGAGAGAGAGAGAGAGAGAGAGAGAGGTGCGTTCTTTTGACTTGAATCGTGCCGCCTTTGCTGCTGTTATTGCTATTGCTGTTGCTGCTGCTGCTGTTGCTGCTGCTGTTGCTGTTACTGCTGCTGTTACTGCTGCTGTTGCTGCTGCTGCCGCCGCCGCAGCCGCCACCGCCGCCGTCACCGCCGCGATTCGAAGTTCGAACTCGCGTCTTCGGACTCTTGGACTGTTTTTAGTACACTTGTAACGGGGTAACGAAGGCGGACGAATATGACTGGTACCGCCAAAGTCGATTCTGTGACAAGTATCGCGATGTCTTGAGTTTGTGATTTATTTATCCCGCTGTTTTATCGACCACTGCAAAATGGCATTCTACTGCAGAATGGATTGCGCTTTCCTGCTCTTCTGCATCCTCGCTTACGGTGAGTTTTTCATTATAAGTTTACCTAGCCATCTTGTATATGGATGGGACTGATCGTTAGTTTACCAAGTGCCAAGCGCGAATGTGAAGCGAATGTGAAGCGAATGTGAAGCGAATGTGAAGCGAATGTGAAGCTTTGTCGATATTTTTGTTCTCCGACACTTTTCGCTGTCACCTACTAAACTATCGCTATTGGATGATCAAGGGACATCTCGCCAACGTTCTCGGCATCCATGATAATAATCCATAATATCTCGGTATCAGTATGATTTACGACAAAACGAATTCAATGCATTGAGTTGCATTAGCCGTAAGTCGACAAAACGAATTCACATCGCTGAAATAGCCGTCCTAGTCGCGCGGGGATGGGGTTAGAGAGGAGGAGGAGGAGGAGGAGGAGGGGCGGGGGGGGGGGGTAGGCGAGAACGAAGAAAAGAGAAGGACAAAGAGGCAATCACAACGACAACGACGCTCGTCGCGTTAAATGTCCGCGAATCAGCTGTTCCCTCGTCCACGATCCCCTTTTATCGCTCTAGCTTGCGTGAACGTCCTTTGAGACCTTTGCCGTTCCACGTTGATGTCGCGCTTATAAAGTGTCCACCCTAGGCACTTTGAGCTGCGTGCACCGCCGCAAACTCTTTTTGAACGTCGGGTCGTCGATCGATCGTGAACATCGTCTAAGCGATTTGTAAACTTTCTATAAAGAACGAGAGGTCGAAGAAATAAATATCCGCCAAACGTCGCATACATAAGCGAGCAGCCTAAACTGCCTCGGGAATTCCGAGTGGGAGTGGCGTGGTGCGCGGGGTTGGGGGGAGGGGGGGTGAGAGAGAGCGACGATTGATTTCACAAAATTCAGATAAGGCGGAGGGGCAGTCATATAAATCGGCGATTTCCTCGATGTCGGTGCGCATGTAAATAAATATGCATTCGCTGGCATGTTGGCGCATAACTTCACGCGTGCGTCGACGCGTTCATCGGCCGAGCGAGCGGCTTCCCTTGAATATCAATGGACATCGTAGCCAACGACCATCGAGCAGCAGCTACGAAAGTCAAATCGAGTGGCGCGATAAATGGAGAAAAACTCGGGACGTCCCGCGAGACGAACATCGGAATTCGAAAATGTTGCGAAGAAGGGGCGGGGCGGGGCGGGGTCGGGGTCGGGGTCAGAGATACACAAATGATAAAATGGATTGCGAGGCGACGATGTTGAGACCGAGGAAAAATTATTGTTCGGGGGGGGGGGGTTTAGAGATTTTATGGTACGCGTGGACAGAGGGACGGCATTTCATTTTTTCACAGCGATTTAGTTTTGTAATTACTTTTGTATTTACTTTATGCATTATTGTCGAGTCCGAGGGTTTGAAGGAGCCACGGCGACTCACTTCCTACGGTCTATTATTACCAAAATATTTATTTTTACCCACGCCCTGCTTACGAATAGGCGCCGATGATTTTAATAAACATATTTTTATGCACAAACATAATGGCCGAACATTCATTCTTCACATAACGATCCCAAGCTTTAGACTTGTACATCGCGTAAAGTGATAATTTGTAATTAGTCGGCGCTATAAGAAAAATGCTCCAGGTCAATTATACATTTTTATTTCAATATATTATTAATAATAGCTTGTTGTATCGCTCGTGGCTGATTGTCGAAATAGATAGATAGATAGATAGATAGATAGATAGATAGATAGAAAGAGATAGATAGATAGATAGAGATAGACAAATAGATAGAGATAGACAAATAGATAGAGATAGATAGAGAGAGAGAGAGAGAGAGAGAGAGAGAGAGGAGGGAGAAAGGATAAAAGACAGAAAAAGACAATCAAAGTGGATAGTGATCGAACGAGGTAAAAAAACATGCGTTGAGCAAGAATCTTGTCGAGGAGTGAGGTTTGTCGGGGGTAAAGGCGCGCTTTATAACGTGAGGTGGTAGGATACAAAATGCTTGGCTGGGTCACCGTTATAGAAGATACAATCGGGCGTATTCCTGGACTTTCAGGATATTGCGTAATGTAAGCGGTGCGCGATGAAAAGTGGCCGTAAATGCAGCGGCGGAAAAGAAAAGCGCAGGAAAAGCAGCGTACGTGTAATCGAATATTAAGCAGAGACGATAAAGGAAAATACCGACCGGGGTCTTCTTTCCTCTCCCATGCTTCCGATCTTCGTCCGATAATGCGCCCTCTCCCCTCTCCCCTGCTCGCCATCTTCCGTAATACCACCCCTCACACCCTCCCCTGCTCACTCTCAACCACGGCCGTCCTCTCGAAAATCGGCGCGGCACCTTTTGCGCGTACCGCAAGCTCGTAATTCAAGCTACTATCAACTTTCGCGGGCAATGTCGAGGGATTATCGCTCGCGTGTTCGTTCTCTCGAGCCGCCACAACTGCCGCCGTCGTACCGCCACCGTCGTACCGCCACCGCCGTACCGCCACCGCCGCCGCCGTTTCTCCTTCTCTTTGGCCCGCTTTACGCGCCGTCGATTTTACGCTTTTTGTCCCCGAGATTCTTTTTCCCCGTTGCTCCAACAATCTCGAGGTTCATCTGCGGTCGCTTATTTTATTTTTCTCGAAACTCGCGCGGCCCCTGAATCTTAATTCCTTATTCACGGATCCGTATTCCTGGCTTTTTCCGTGAATCCGGCGGCTTACTACTGCTCGCTCCCACGTTTCCGTCATTCTCTCACTTTGCGAAGTACGCACAGCATTTACGCGCTTTGCCGCGACTTTGACACCGAACGATCCTCATCGTCGGGCTACTCGGAGACCTTTTTTGAGAAGTTTCCGAGGGACGCCGTGGACGTTCGAGCATCCCCTGCGAACGCGCGACCTCGGCCGATCCGATTCCTCGGTACTCCGGTCCGGTCTCGCCCTCGAGCCAACCGAAACCCAGCAACCTAGGATGCGTCCCCACTCCGACACATTCGCGGAATCCTTATTAAAAGATCTCGTTAATTATCGAGACGGAGTTTTCTAGAAATAAAATGAGCAAAGGGGGAGATTCCCCGATGGAAGACGACTGGCGGCGAAGCAGTGAGCGAGCGCGACAACTCTCACGCTTACGTTCCGGCCTGACCTTTCGCCCCGAGCGAAAAAAACGTCGCGCTTCCTCTCGCTCCGTTGCTGCCGCTGGGGTCCGCCCACCCCGTGTCCCGTCACTTTGTGGCGTAATTCCAGAAACGCTAAAGGCATGCGAGGCTATTAAGTC